TAGATATTGGTAAATAATCAACTGCCTATTCTTGCATTTATTGTCTCTAAAAGAAAGTGATAGTGGCGGTAACGTTGCTACGATAATGATCATATTGTAGTTATTAATAGATATTGGTAAATAATCAACTGCCTATTCTTGCATTTATTGTCTCTAAAAGAGAGTGATAGTGGCGGAAACGTTGCTACCATAATGATCATATTGTAGTTATTAATAGACATTGATAAATAATTAAAACTGCATTAGCTTGCAAATGCTGTCTCTATCAGAATCATTTTAACTGTAGAATTTATTAGACATTGATAGTCCAGTGCCTTTGATTGTAAAAGAGTCAAACTAAACACATTCTTAGTCACAATTGAAGCTTATAAAATTTGCTAAGCCTAAAATGGTTTCAACACATTTAAATATGATTTTATTTAAAGTTTAAAACATTTTAAATGATTTAATATTGAATAAAGTTGTTTAAAACCACCCGACGGTTTTTGTGGCTGCTGCTTCGTATAGGCAAAACCTCTTTGTCATCGAGGAAGCCCAACGCACGTGAATAGAATGGTGAATATAAACCAATGCACGTGATCAGAACGTGAAAAAAGCCGGTGGCGTGACATTTTGCACGCTCAAAAATAACATCGGGAGCAGGTATTGCTGGCTTTCACTTGACGTCATTTCCTGTCTCGTGTGAAATTTTCATCAGCTGAATCGCAAGTTTTAACTATAATTCTTTCTGGCTGATAGCACATGGTGGTCAGTGTTTGATTACCATGTGGAGCAGATAATGAGATTCAAAAGCTTTTATTAGCTGAGTGAAAGCCAGCAATTTTGCTGGATTTTTTTAGTACAAAAATGGAGCTCGAAGCGAAAAAAATACAGAAATTTTCCATTGTTTCTACAGAAGAAATAAAGAAATACAGACTTCAATTGAGGAAACAAAATTGAAATGCTTAGTCTTAATTTGCTTTCAGATAACGTTTTGCTCTTCGAATTCCCTTTTTTAGTAAAAAAGAAAATCGCGTACGATTTATAAGAAGAAAGTAGAGAGAAGAAAAGAGAGGAGAAGAAAGGAGTTTGGAGCACAGCGCGCAGAGCAGAGGAGTGCAGAGGACAGGGCTGGACAGGAGAGGAGGAGGGGACCAATAAGCCTGGTTTCACGTACTCAAAGTCGGAGTCGTGTGCAGCTTATGGCAAAGTGATAAGATCGATCACCTTAGATTGCATTAGTCTTCCTTTATCTGCCTTAGTATGGCCCATTGTAACATATGCACTTACTTAGATAGCCTTTAGCCTTGAATTGCCTAATGACGCTCTATATCGAATAGCTTATGCACCGTTTTTTTGAAATTTCCTTAGCGCTATTCAAACCGGTAGCGGGGGGGGCTTTTGAGGAGCTTTTGAGGGCCGCTCCAAAGTTCAGCTCGTATAACAGAGGGACTACAGAGGGGCTGTTTTTGAATAGCTTCCCTGATAATATGAAAAGTGTGTCAACATTAAGTAACTTCCGTAACTCAATGGATTATTTTTTCAATAATTAGAATTCGTAATAAACTCTGCCAGCATAGGTACTCTCCTCTTTTAGCAATTTTACTAAGGTGAGGTCGTATTGTGCTCCTGCTTTATTATTCTATTATAAGTTTTAACACGGCTCTTAGGAAGCCCATTTTGTATGATGAGACATCCGTGTTTAAATAAAGAT